CTTCTTGTTGCTTCTTGTTTAGGGTGGTGGTTGGGGAATGTGTACGATCGGTTCTTTGTGCACGGAACTCATCGCAAACCCTCATTCTCCCTTTTAAAGGCCCTTTACCTGTTTGCACCCCTACTTTGTCCCTTCTCACCGTCATCTGAGGAGAAAACGCAGCAGTTGCGGCAAAAGTTGGAAGCTCAGCCAGCGGACCGCGTCGCGGGGCCTAACGTCGCCGATGTCATGGCTTTGGAAGAAGACTCGGACGCTGTTGAATCGATGGAGGAGGTCTAGACCATCTCGAAGTATTCTTGCGCGATTTTCGGGTCTCTACACCTTTGCGAAGGATCTTGGGAGGCAAAAAGAAGATGCATGTTTGAGAGCGGACCACTTCTGCAACAGTTCTGCTTGCAAAGCGAAAGTGCAGTTGTGCATTTATACCTGTGGTGTGGCACCAGACTGCCGCAGATCCGGTGTTTTTTTGCAGTTAAAGTTTCACCTGCAGTAGGCTCTCGCATGGCTCCTGCTTGCCAAGCAAGCAGATGCCCTGAAATCTTCGCATCGAAACGTCAAAAACAACCGATGTGCCGCCCATCCCGAGCTGTTCGAGCTAGCTTCGGACGCTAGCGAGCTAGCGTTGTCGTCTGCTTCTGGACCGATTGGTCGGTGAGGTGTCAGAAAACTCGGATTGATCGATCGAGATTGGGAGACGGCACCAAAAGATCCTCCAAGCCGGGCATCCTGCTCATGCATGTTGGTACTTGCAAGGATTTGACACGCCCAGCGCCAGATGACGTCCTCACCGGGTCTTTCACTTTTGTGCGTGGGAAAAGATTGAAGTATATAGCAATCCCAGGCTGCGTGTTCGCTTTGAAGACTTGGAAGGCCTTTTATTTAGGCCATTCTGTTTTGACGGCCAGAACAGTCAACCTGGAGACCATGACCAGGCCCTTTATGACTTTATGGCTTATTCTGCCCATGTTCTGTGACTGAGAACCACTGGACATGGACAGCCCCTGCGTGTCGACGCAGATCATGCAGCGCCATCTGCCGGTGAGGACGGGCATGCCTGGCATGGCAGCCCAGGATGCGGTAATTTGTGCATTGGCAGACTAGCGGACATTAGACATCTATAGATTTGTTCATCAAAGCAAGCTTTCATAATGCTAGTCTTTTGCAATCTGATTTGAAGTTTGCTTGTTGATCCTAGGCGGCCAATGAGCTGTGTGCTCGGGCCAGAGGAGGCCTAGCAGCCCGCTGAGCAGCTGCTTTTTTGGGCAGTTCATCGCAGAACTCAGCGAATCATTGCCTCCGTGCCATTCTTAACATTTTGTTTCAGGGATTTCTCTAAACATTATATATATATATACAAGTTAATCCCAAAGCTGTATGCAAAAAAAAGGCCTAGAGGGTCACTGTGCTGGCCTTGTTGCGCTGCGCTCTACTTGTCCCCTGCTTTGGCTCTTTGGACAGATGAACATCACTACGATTTTTTGATGCTTTGGCATATCAAGAAGCTACTAGTAACAAGTAGCTTCTTGCAGCAAACCAGCACATAGCTCTGCCGCTCCCCGAGAGTCTCTCGTGTTTCTACCGGGCACTCTGAGACCGTCCAGGCCTTGAAGTTGAAGATGGACACCGAGGCGCGCGGCTTCCTCCTGTGTGGTGCGGTTCTACATGAGGACAGGACACTGAGTGAGGATCCAAGGGGTACCATGCATCGGTGGAAGTGGAAGATCCAAACCCTGGATTTCAGCTTTCCAGCAGAATCACATGATTTCGTGGGGAAGTGTTCGGTGAGGAGGAGTGGGTAGAAGTAAAGACCGAAATCATTCGGAAGGCCTGCTGCAGTCTGTAGCTGTGTCAGAAATCGCAACTTTGCTTCCTCCGGCATGTGGTCCTTCACCTCCAGCTGAGCTCCAAAACCCCCGGAGAGGGTTTCGGTGAGGTGCCCAGCGCCGGGAGGCGGAACTATCGGATCCACACTTTGAAGCTCAGGCGGAGTGGGAATTGGGGGGAGAGGAGTCGGCAGAGTCGGGAGAGGGAGGGGGTTCCAAGGACTTCCACCCTTTGGGTGGGACACGAATGGTGCATTGCAGCAAGAAGTGTTTTTTTTTTTTTTTCTGATTTCGGGTTGACACGGCTGGGCGAACATGTCGAATCGACGGGAGGGCTTTCCGACCTCATCGACGTGGCGTGTTCATTGACGAACACCTCCTCCCCCAGGTGACGCGTGCGATGACGGGCGCGGCACCACTCCGCTGCGAAGGGGAAGCGTTTGTCCTGTACGGTGCCCCGACCCGGAGCGGGACCGGACTTGCCATATGGGGTCCATCAGGAAAAGGAACACGATGCGGGGTTGGACTGGGAGAGTTTTTGCTGTGTGGGTGGTGTCTTGGGTGGCCTAAAAGATACAACGAACACGATAATTTGAGATAACTTGATGGTTCAGCATGGGTAGAGAAGTGCAATTCTGGAGATGTTGACAGGGTCCTGAAATCAACAACGGTCCATTGTCTTTCCTCCTTGGCATCCGATTCCGCTCCAAAAGTCAAGTCTCCTCATTCAGGTTGCCAGTAGTTAGAGGGTCGACGACCACCAGAAAAGGGCAAAGCTTTGGTTCATTTTCCATTGGATCTGTGGATGTGATATGATACCATGTGACAACAGGGTTTTTTCGGACTGGGTGAACCCAGGACTTTGTGACCCTCGGGGGCCAAGCTCCGAAAGAGATCAGGGGTTGGATGCTCTACGCCACCACTGGCCTGGATGCTCTACAATACCCACCACCGGCCTGGCCACATGTTCGTCTGGCGGTGACGGAACTGGGCCCCTCCCTTGCACGTGGCAATGTGCCTTTTTGGGAAAGCATTGCATGGCGTGTCGCCATGCAAACCTTGCAAAAAGAAGCTTCGGTGTGGAGGGCCCTCGTATCCTAAGTGTCCGGGGGTGAGAGACGGGACAGGGCTAGCGATGTGCATTTTATGTTTTTTCCAAGCACTGTGTTGCACAGTTTTATGCCGAAGCTCGTGGAAAAGCTGACTCTTGAGTCGAACTTGTGGCACCAAAGCTGGCTCTATTTCCGGCCAACGCGGGGCCGTCCCTTCTTCCGAAAGCTGCCGACCTGCCAGATTTTGGGCCCCGGTTTTGAGACTGCAGAGTTGCTCAAGTGCTACGGTACAATTGGACCACCACGGGATCTGGAATGAGGATTCTTTCTCATAATTCACGCCCTGCGTCGGGCAGCACAGTGGCAAGATGTTTGAGCGTGACACACACACACAGTAACTGATGTCAGGAACTTCCTCATTTGTGGGAATCGAGAGATCTCCCAGCAACCTTGAGAAGGGAAACTAGATGAAGAAATTCATCTTCGAATTCCGAATACCTGAAAGTCTGGTGGGATCTTCCCCCACATGGTGCGATGACTCAAGGTTAGGACCCTCGGCTGCTGGGAAATCCACGCTGCTGCCAAAGATGGAGGTGCAGCCTGGTTTCAGCAAGATGAGTGGACTGCAGACGCCACGCTTGAAATAATTGTGGAAGTGGAACACCATTTGTTTGTAGAGGAAGATGGTCATCCAAGGTTTTCCACTTCCATGATGTTTTTTTTTGTTTAGTGCACAGTATCTGAAGGAGGTGGCACCAATTTTTCGACATCCACCAAGATCTTCTATAAACATGTGGTCGACATTGTTTCTGTGTTGGGAGAATTCGGGAGACATCATAGGTGTATTGAGCACTCGATGAAACATGATTCTCGATTCTCGATTCCTGTGGTTTGGACACAAACATCTATTTTGTTTCGGTTTCAGCAAACAAGAGGATTGGGAGAAAGAACTTTCTTTCAAGTGACCCAATGCCGCCCTGGCCGGATGTGGAAGGATTAGCAACGGCTATATACGTAGTTCGAAAGTCTTTTCGAAGGACCCTTCCCACTCAGTGGGACACGAAGTAAGTTGACCTCCCGGTGGTCCATCTAAGTTCGGCTGGAGATCCTGTGATTTGTTGAGGTCCCCTCTTGAGACCTTCCGGTAACTTGTTCTTGAGGTCCCCTCGGGAGCCTTGGTGATGGATGGCAGCTTCATCAGACAAGAGAGCCAGATGTGGCGGAAGGCGTCGGCCAGAGCGGAAGATGATCCACAGAGGTACAAACTTGATGTTCAGAAAATTGGCTTTTGTGATAATGTCTCATGGACTTGATTTAGCCCCAACAGGGGTTCTTATCTTGCTGGCTTCCATGACTTTGGGAAGCGACTTTGGGTGTCAGGAGTAGTGAAAGTTTTTCATTGTCAAGGTCCATGACACCTTTTGTCAGAGACTACTTGTAGCTGTTAGGCTGTTCGGATCGTGCTCGGAACATGAGTAGTGTAGCAAAACTTCCTTTGACAGGATTCTACCAAGTAATCCTGAATAGTCTTGGTGTGATGATTTTCACTTGAGCCATGTGGAGTAGAGGGGAAATGCTCCTTTTCACATTCTCAATGGCCCCTACCGGCTGTCAGCCGGTAGAGGCTTCCAACATGTGCGCAAGACCCACCATGTAGAAAGCACCGAACATCTCTTTTTTAATTAAATTACTATTGTTACTACTAGTAAGGCACTTGTTTCTAATAGCAAACATTGTTACTACTAGTAAGGCACTTGTTTCTAATAGCAAACATTGTTACTACTAGTAAGGCACTTGTTTCTAATAGCAAACATTGTTACTACTAGTAAGGCACTTGTTTCCAATAGCAAACATTGTTACTACTAGTAAGGCACTTGTTTCTAATAGCAACCATTGTTACTACTAGTAAG